CTTTTTCTTTCTTTCACGGCTTAAATGAATGTTTTTATGATATGATTTTTGTGTCTGGAGATATTGTGCTGTGACAGGGTGGAGAGCGATTGTTAAATAAAATATTATGTTCGAAGATATTGATCAATGATTCAATGTGTAGGAAATAGAAATACATCTTCTATGATATGATTTTTTACTTTTAGATGACTAAAAGTGATTCGCTTATTTTTTAGTGTAGATAATACTTACATTATTTTTTTACTATTTTTAAGAAAATCTCAAATTCAGTAAAACAGGCAGGAACTACATCGATTTTTATTACGTATTTTATCAAATAATAAAAATACACAAAGTTCCCATTTTACACCCATAATATGACAAGCGTGATAGATATCATAAAAATAAGTCTAAGAAACAATAAATCTATGACATACATACATAAATCGTAATAGACGAACGTCATAATTATAATTGATTAAAAAAAATGTCAACAATTAAAAAAAGCGTAATTTTCATAATTACTCACCGACAATGGACATAAGAATCTGATTGTGTTTGCTCCCAACTTTTTCTTCTTTCGCAGAACTGATTTTATACATTTTGTTCACCATTTTTACCGATATAAAAAAATTACACCACCAAAAAAAATATCACACCGAACTAATTAATATTCTTAAACAAAAATCCTCAATTTAAAAATAAGAATATCACAAAAAAAATATTAAATATCAACAAAATTAGAAATAAATATTTTAATTCGATTTTTAAACTGAATACATTTAAATTTGAATTTTATATATTTATTAAATAAAGTTTATTTTTATTTACGCGCGTGCTCGTCGCGCGCGCTTGCGTGACAACGTAGTATGCGTCAACGCACTGTCCGTCCTCTCTTAGTTACATTGCTTTTATATTAGCGTCATAAGACGAGGGCGCTACATTATCTCTGAATAATACTTAATTTATTACTTTCATATAATTAAATATAACATAATTATTTTCTATTAACTGTCAGATTAAGTACGTCACATTAGTAATGAGGGTTATTAGGTATAATGCCCATAAGTATGGTGATTTTTTATGGGATAAGCCAGTACACGAGCAGGCGGATCATCTGATGGTTAGCAATCGGCGCCGCCCATGGACACCCGAAACACCAGAAGCGGTACCATCGCGTTGCTGGCATTTTTTTTCCTTCTCCTCTTATAATATTTTCTGATTCACTTCGTTGCGGGAACCAAGATTTATTTATGTCCCTGGGACGCGCCGGACTTCAGTGTTCCGGTGTTTTCATGGTTGTATCTACTGTAGATCCTGGCTTACAGGAGTTGCAGCGGTTTTGGGAGATAGTGGTGGGCTTGTCCCATTAAAAAAAAAAGCGCGTTGCTGGCCTTTTGGAGCTTAGGAATTTGAAGATTGTTGGGGATTCGAGGATCGGGGAGGTTGGGGAAGGAGGGGGTTAGTAATGGGCTTCCGGTAACCGTACTCAGCGTTGCTTCACGTCGGTTTTCTTTGAGGTCGTGGTATTACTCGGGTCGAGCAAGCCTATTCGTGCCCAATGGCTACGTTGCTAGTTGTTGTAGCACCCTTCTCGAAAATGGTAATGCGGAAGCGTATCATCCCTTACTATGCAATTAATTCAACATGGGTTTTTTTTTAAGGGGGGAAAATAATCGAATGACTGCTCCCGCCTGGGTAAGGCGGGAGGGAGTGTCAGACTCTTACTGACTAAAAACCACCCCGTTCCTTCTCCTGCACGTCGAGCCGGAGCCCCGGTTACCCGTTAGGTTCTCCGCGACAATTTAACATGGGTAGGTAGCATCTGCTATCTACTTAGCATACTAAGTAGTAGTGTGTAAGTAGTAGTGGTACAAAATACTACTCTATATACTATTGCTGTTCCCCGCGATTTCCTCAACGTAGAATAAGGACTTGTGGCAGAATTTAGATTGTATAATAACAATGTAAGAAATAGAGGGATCTTTATGGTAGATTTTTCACTTATCGGGTTAAATTATCAAAATTAATAATAACTCTCAGGAGGCAGTACTTTCCAGCTACATTTCTGTTTTCCCGTTAAATTTTCGCACTATTTTCTCTTTATTTTTTATTTTTAAATGTGGCCTTTGTTCATCACGGATAATGTAAGTATGATTCCAATGGAGGCTACTCAATTCAAACAAAGAAAAAATTAAATATTTCCTCTAGAGGTATATAATATTAATCTAATTTATAACATATAATAACATATTTATTCAGTCTTTTAGGTGGTTTTGATAACCTATCTTTAGCTATAGATTTGCTTATTGGGAATAGGTTCTGACATATTTTAAGGTGTACCTATATATTTATTTTCTTTTACTGTTATTTAGTTTTTCATGTAGGTATTCATGTAAATGAAAACTATCCATTTTTGTATATTACATTATATCAAAACTCTATATATATTAAGCAAAATCACGTACCTATCGAATCGATAGGTTAACGAAAACTGGCCATATGTATTGTCTATTGGTACGCTTTTCATTGAAATGTACATATTAAATTTTGGCCAAATGCCAAGTAACTTTCACTTTTCTTGAGGACCAGTAGTTTCGACTTTGCTCTCAATCTTTAGTAATGATATTACCATCATCCAGATATCAGGCACTAGACTTCCATTGCTGACAATAGAGCTCCTCCGATGTCTTCGCCCGGAGGTTTAAGATGCCCGCTTTTCATGCATAAGGGTACGGGTTCGAAACCTACCAACGGCAAGTACCAATGTGACTTTTTCCGAGTTATATGCACTTTCAAAGATTATCTAGACACTGACAAACGATGACGGAAAACACCGTGAGGAAACCTGCTTATAATTCGTAATTATAAGTTTGTAATCGCTAACCCGCTTTGAGCAAGCGTGGTGTGGTGATTAATGCTCAAACCTTCTCTGTGAGAGAAGAGGCTTTGCTCAGCAGTGGGCATTTATAGGCTGTTGATGATGATGTCCTCCAACGGTCGGTTCAAAGCAACTCTTACATACTTATTTCCAAGACTAGATGCCTGAATATTATGATGGAAGCTAAAGAAGTATCTAAGAATCGTTGTAGTTGACACTCCACTGGATGGTAGATTTTTCATCAGCCTGTAAGTGCCAAACCTGAAAAAAGGCCTCGTCATACACGAAGAAGGTATGAGAATCAATGGAGCATTGCTTTGCATTGAGCAACATTGCTTGCTCAAGTTTCTACTTATTTTCATGCAACAAAGCTTGAGTTCATGTATGTATAATTAGACATATAGTAAAATGTATGACAAGAAATATGTATCAAGAGGTTTATTAAAAGTTTATTTTTAATTTATATTATTTATTTATTTAATGCACTTACAACTACCATTACAGATACATTCCAATACGGTAGTGTAGCCATCATAGACTGATGTCTTACCACATCTTTTAGTAATCACTTATTAGGTACGTAATTATAATTAAATTTAAACTTAACACTTATACATACCTGTATACTAATACAATAAGTTATCTATACAAATTTAATTGTTTAACAATTCTAACTTTTTTTTTTGGCATAAGCCGGTAATCGAGCAGATGGATCACCTGATGGTAAGCAATCGGCGTCGCCCATGGACATCTGAAGCACCAGAGGCGTTACAAGTGCGTTACCGGCCTTTTGGGGATTAGGAGTTTGAGGATCGTTGGGGATCCAGGAATTGGGGAGACTCACACGTAACGAAACACAACGCAAGCGTTGCTTCACGTCAGTTTTCTGTGAGGCCGTGGTATCACTCCGGTCGAGCCGGCCCATTCGTGCCGATGCATGGCTCTCTCACACTTACTATTGAGTAACTGAATCAAAAAAACCAAATTCTCATATGTAACACTCAAAATTAAATACTCACAACGAATCATAAAAGGTATTTTACTAAACACCTATTAAACTGTCAAACACCAAGCGGTCACCGGTGACCGCAACCTATTGTTCTATAATTGTGTCTGCAAAACCGGTACTCGACGAGTTAAGTACCTACTTAGTACAATAAACTATTAATTAAGTGCTTTAACTTGTCCAATCTATCTATCTATACATATAATAAAATCGTAGGAAAGTGAAAACTGTACATCGAATATTTTGTTGAAAGAATGATCTACAGTCGATACCGAACCTAAAAATATAGTTTTTAGAATTTTTGTCTGGTTGTCTGTATGTATGTCCGGAATGAACTCATAAAGTGCTGCACAGATTTAACTAAAATTTTGCATGAATAGTACTGATTGGTTGGGTCAACATATAGGCTACATATTACCACGCTATCACCTTCGGGAGAGGAGCTGTGAATCACTCTTCCACGCGTACGAAGTCTCGGGCACAGCTAGTACGCAATGTGTTTGATTCCCCATGATCCCAAGGTTTGAACTTGACTTATTAAAGTTATTGGCTCAATTGATATTCATTGCTTTGACCTATCAGACGTTCAGCTTGTTTTCCCTGCTAAACAATTAAAAACAAGGTTGAATAATATTTCCGTAGACAAATCATCAAAACAGTAACTGTAAATGAATGTTATTATGATTAAAAATCTGGCAATCTGGCGCAGTCTGACACCGAGTGTCAGACTGCGCCAGACAATCCACAAACAAAGAGAGATGGCGGGAGATCGTGAAGAAAGTAGTATCGGCCACCAACACAAATACGGCCGCCTCAACGTGACCACGACCGCTCTGCCAAGAGCGAAACGACAGAGAAGAAGAGATGATTAAAAATATAACTAGCGACCCGCCCCGGCTTCACACGGGTACAATATGCATGTATTATACGTATAAATCTTCTTTAAGAATCACTCCATCTATTAAAAAAAACCGCATCAATATCCGTTGCGTAGTTTTAAAGATCTAAGCATACATAGGTACAGACAGACGGTGGATAGCGACTTTGTTTTATACTACGTAGTGATACTTATTACTCCCTCATTGTTTTACTCGTTGCTAACCTTTAGCATTCGAAAAGTGGACTATGCAACACAATAGGAATAATTAAATTCGAACCAAGCAGTTCCGGAGATTAACGCAAACAAAGTATGCAATTTTATATTACTATAAATAAAAAATTGTCACATTCCGAGTATTTCCGAGTTATACGTAGTTTTAGACGACGAAAATCAACTAAATGAACGTCACTATAGTCCATCTGTTTAGGTAATTAACTAAAGGTAAACAAACAAAACCACGTGACACAGAGATACTTAACCTTCTATTACTTCAAATATTTCTCGTGTTTTAATTTAAACTAAATTCACTTTAAAATCATTCATTTATCACACACACACACACATACAAGCACAAATGCCTAAATCGTACAAGAGCCTAGCCTATGGGTCTATTTCATTATCATGTTTAAATAGAAACTATTCTGAATCTGATGTACGGATTTCTTTCTTGTACGGATATGTGTCTTTGGGCCAAGTTTCTTCAATATATTTGAACACATTAATTACAAACGATGAATAACCTAAACTTAAATAACGTAATAACAAAAACAAAACAAAGAAACAAGATAAATTCAACAAAATAGGAACGCGAGCGCAAACGACGAGAGAGCTGTCAATGGCGCCTGATTAACCGACTAAACGTAATACACGCTACTTTCATTGTCGCGCTACATCTTAATT